TGGGCAAGAGGCAGACTGTGTTCAAATCGCATGACTCGAAGCTTCGTCAGTTATATGGCAATGTGGACTATGTTGAGGAGAGGCACCGACACAGGTATGGTGTTATGGAGGCTTTAGACGCTATTGCTGTGCAGTGCAGTGATAGTAATTTTGTCTAGCTATCTTGCTGACCTGCATTCAATCCCGCATGCTGCCAGTGGATGGTAACCCATAGCCATTCCTTGAACACGGGATAATTAAGAAGCAAAAACAAAAGAAAAAAAAAAAAAAAAAAAAAAACAGCTTGTCACAGCAAAGAATATCCATTGAGTTAAACTAAATTATTTATTTGAATTATTGCATAGGTTGTCTCCTTGGCTTAGTTTAGGCAGGATTGTATGGATTTGATGTTCTTGTGGATGCATGTTTAGTGAAAGAAATACACTAAATCCCTTCTTCCTTTTTATTTTGGGGTAAATGACAGCCAGTTTTCCTTCATCTTTCAGTAAACAAGTATATCTACATTGTTTTGCTCTCTTGCAGATTTGAAGTGAATCCAAAATTTGTTGCTGATTTAGAGGCAGCTGGAATGAAGTTTGTGGGCCATGATGTTGATGGAGAAAGGATGGAAATTATGGAGTTGGCAGATCACCCTTACTATGTGGCTTGTCAGTACCATCCAGAGTACCTCACTAGGTAAGTTAATGCACACATCTTTTGGGATGTCTTACTAGAATTTTCTGCTTACATTTGTTTGCTAAAGTTACTTGAACTGTTCTTAGGTATTGTTACCATTAACTGCCTCTTTTGATTTTAGTAGCCATCTTTGAGTATTTAAACTGCTCAAGATTTAATACTGAAGTGATTATATAAAAGTTAAGAATTTTGTAAATATGGTAATTGGTAAAGACCACTTTTTACTCTTAATAAATTATTGTTTGCTGAAAAGTTTGAATACTTTTCCAGGCCATTGAAGCCATCACCCCCATACCTGGGTCTAATCCTAGCATCTAGTGGCAAGTTGGAGCAGTATTTGTCCCGAGGATGTCGAATGAGCCCCACTGATTCTCCTGAGTCTTCTGGTGTGTGTCGGTTTGCATTGAGGATGGTTACTTAAGCTTATCTCCCTTTCTGTGAACTTTTTTGGTTTTGTTAGACTTTCTGATGTGCTTTGCTTTTTTACTTCATTTTTGTTAGTGAAATTATAAGGAATATGTAGAACATGTCTAATAGCATTATTAATGGAGATTATCAGTATTGTTTTTATGGTTTGTATTTTTCATTCTCTTCAGACTTAGGAAAACTAATTCAAGAGATATAATAGTATTCAAGTAGGCCTTAACCCAGCAACACAAAACTGAACCAGTCTAATGATTAACATTCTGGCTTGCCTCATTGACAGACGAAGAGCTGCCCATGCCTCCCCACCTGCTGGTACACCAAACAGACAAGCCTAGCATGTCACCTGCTTCTCGCACTACTCCTCCCCCCACACTCCAAGAAATGCCTACTTCAGCCCTCAACAGCACCCCCTCCCCAGCTGAGAAGGGAGATCTTGAAGAAAGTAAACAGAGCCTATAATAGTATGGCTGGTCTAGGACATTGTCATTAGCCATGGTGTAGTAGTGTTTAACACACACTTTTTTATTAATGTCACAAGTTATTATTTTTTTCTATTTGTATTCATTATTGTTTTTTCTTTTATATTTACTCTTTGTTTTCAACATCAGTATTATTATATGTGCAGTTCCCCTATGGTTCATTTCCAGAGTGCTTTTTTTAGTAAGTTTTACACACACACACCTATATCAGGTCTATAGTTTATATGTGGTGCATTATGAAAAACCCTATTACTCAAATTTATGATATATATATATAATCCCTTAGTGTTCATACTCAAAATATTGAGGACAGGAGATAACTTTGTATATTTTGTGCTAGCCATATCGTCCCTCCCCTTTCAGAGACATAAAACTATATTTAATGTGTTTGTCACACCCTCCAGAAATATAAAACTATATAGAATGTGTTTTTCACGATGATCCTTTGCAAATGGTCTTTATATTTTTTGGCAAGTGAACCATACTTACGCATGTGTGTAAGGCAGATAGATATTCTCAATATTTGAATGAAGCTTTGAATTATTTTTCCTTTCCCTCTTTGTTTTTTTAGTGTGAGGAAGAATGATAGGAATAGAATTAAGATAGGTAAAAGATTATCTCATGATTGAATAAGTATTTAATTTTACTTGGAAGGAAAAAGTATTCTCAGAAATCATTCATTCATCCATCTATCTGTTTCTGCAAGTAAAACAGTCATGAGTCTAAAGTTTGGTGAATGCTGTAAAGGCAGGATGCCTTGTAGCATTTTCACTTGCTTTGTCCAGTATGGTGTGTAATAATGATGTAATCAGGTATGATGATGCAGTGTTGCATATTATCCTTCATGTGCCATATAATACAGTAGATAGCAAAGGTCAGTGCAATACGAGAATGTATGGAAAGTTTGCATGCTCGAGTGAGGAATTGGGTGTAGGTTTGTTGTTTGCCAATGATACTTTGGCAACCAGATGATGTTTTTTGGTGATTGTTGTTTAAATTTGTTTATGCATGTAGGCTTTGGTTTGTGTTGTAAAAGGGAAATAATTTTTGTTGTAGTATTTCCCTCCCATTTAGTTGGTAGAAAATATTTTTATATTCGCAGAAAAGTAATGTATAACCTTTTTATTTTATATTTTTCAATTGTTCTTTTTTTTTAGAAAATGAATGGGAAAATAAGAAATGTATAACCTTTCCTTTTATAGTGTTTTTTTTTTGAAGTTTGTAATATATTCTCAGTGTAATTTAGATTTTTTTTATTATTATTAATATAATTTTGGTGCATTGATCTAACTAATTCAGATTTCTTTAGCACTTACCAAAGCACAATGATGAAATGGATGCTCATTTTTCATGCATTTATTTAATATGAAAAAAAAATAGTATCAAAGTAGCATGAAACAGAAAGAACATGTATTTTTAGCATTTCATGTGGTGTGTGCAGTCTCTAATAACCAGACAAATCAGATGTGTATAACCTTTCTATGTGAAGCATTTATCGAACAATATATAGATGTGTATCTCATATTCCATGCCCTTAATACCCTCATATATCTGCCATGTACGTTTTCTTTAGGAGCCAAGATGTGCATTAGCTTAATTTGTTGTATATTTGATTAACATTTAGAAAATCTTTATTTGTTTTGTTTTGCTTTTTTGTTCTTTATATTTTATATATACCCGGTGTATATGCATATTTTATTGATAATTCACATTTATTACAATTGCCACTTTTGGTATGGTGTATCTCATTATTTTACAGTAGTAACCGAAACACAGATTTGTATCTCAAAGACTGAATGATATATCCTCCAAGCTGAATGAACCTGAATAAAGTTAAAAACTATTTAAGAATTACTGATATTTGATACAATAGTTTATGTACAAACGGCTGGTGTGACCCATACCAATGATTTGATTTAGCCTTTTATGATATATTCACTGAATTTTTAATGCAGGTTTAACAGACTGGATAAAGTCATGCATATCAGTATTGAGTTTTCTTTCTTTTTTCAATGAAAAGATCTTTTGTATGCATTCATTGCAATCTCATTTTTCTATAACATGGGATTCAGTTTTTTTAGTTATGGTTAGTTAGCTAGTTATGGGTGCAAATTTAATTGTAATTCTTGAATTCCATTGAAGTTGTTTGGTTTTAAATGTACTTCATCCCATGGGTTGTATTAATGGTCAATTATTCCTCTGTGTTACAGATTTAGATTGGTGATGAAGTAGCCATAGCATATTTTCTCACTTAAGTATGGAATACACAGAGGCAACAACTTTCTACTAAGGGATCTTGCTTCTTCCTTGAAAGCAATTTTAGAAAGCTCCTTAGAAAATCTAAAAAAGCCAGAGACTAGTTTCCAAGCATGTATCAAGAATTACTCAAAGAAAAAAGGGAAAAAACTAATATTTCCTTGCCCACCTGTATGCCTTTTAGGCTGGGTTTGAATTCTACATATCAATTTTATTCTTAATCAGTAGATACTCGTAAATGGTTGAGAGAAAGGGGTGCAAGCAAGAATTCTTTGTAAAGTTTTCTCAGCAAAATGTTCTTCCGTTAAACCCAGTTGTACCTTTTTATCGTAAAATTTGAGCTGTATGAAACCGATTCTCAGAGTTGATATTGTTTAGATTTGATATATTTTGTCATTAGTTAAAAGGGTGCCATATTTATTGTTTTTTAAGAAATTGAATTTCTTAAAAGTAAACCTTTTTGTTTGCATTTGTTTCCATTTAAAGAAAGAAATTCAGAAATTTTGAAAGATTTTGTTTTAATTTCCCTTGTCTTAACCCCCGATTCCCTGCCAATACCTTGCTTGTTGTCGTGGGGGGGCTTAGGAGATGGAGACTGGAGCCTAATGTAGGGATTGCCCCTGCCTTGGGCTTCAACCCGCTCCATAACTAATTTTGCTTGGTATTTTCTTTTCCTCCTTTCCTCTGTATCTTCATTCCCTTCTGCCCCATTCCTAAGGTGTGAGAACCATGCCAAAAGGATGAAAGGCTGGCTTTGCCTGTCATGAACAGCCTCCGGGAGCCATGGGCACCGTATTCCCTTGATTAATTGCCTAGCCCTTACCCCTTATGGGGATCCGGAGGGGTAGACCGTTTCTTTTCCTAACTTTATTCAGGCTTACTATGGCCAATAATGAATATTCTTAACCCTTAATAGGGGCATTAAGGCTTACCCCTTTATCAACTATCTATCTGATTTTGATGGTTTCATGACCCGTGCCCTTCCTTTGGACACGTGTCTGACCACTGATACTATTACCCCCTCCTCCACGTATCCTGACAATGCTATCCATTCTGAACCAGCCACCCAGGTTATTACTCAACCTCCAGAATGTACCCTTTCCTCTCTCCCAACATTCTCTTCTCTACTGCACATTCATCTTCAATTATTACTACTCTTCATCCTTATTGTCCTCCCCCCACAGAACTACTCCACTCTACACCACCCCATCTTCCTCCCGCCCTAGTCCTTCTACTGCCTCTACCTCTGCAAACCTTTTGAGTACTCTCTTTGGCCCAGAAAAGTTGGATCGATTCTTTACGATTCCCCCCACAGCCCCCTACTCTGAGAATACCCTTCTTTCAACAGTGCCTCCAAAAACAAGTAGGCAAAGTACCTCCCGCAGTCGCTCCGATCGTTCACGCCTAGTCACAGTTACTTCAGAATCCCAAGCTTGTGCACTATCTACCCTAACTGACCTCATTGACAAACCCATTCCTTCCGAAACTAACCTCTCTTTTAATACTTGTACTGGAGCTGTTTCCATTCCCCGGTGTGATAGTCCCATATGTGACGAGCTGGTCAGATTGTGAAAATTAACTATTTACCTGCCTTGCTGATGAAGATGGATACTTGCGTGAATCCCTTCTTCGGATTCCTTCCTTCCTGATACTTCACTCCCTTCCCCAGTCCCCTTATCTCACCCCTAAGACTTTTCTCCAGCAACTTCTCCAAAAGCCATCTCTACCCGTATTACCCGTTGGTTATTTCACAACAGCTTTTTTACCAGTTTTCCTTAAAGTAATGTTACTATAGCTTCCCCAACAACAAATACACCCCATCCCACCCGCCGTATACCCTTAACCCTTTCCTTACATCATTTACATTTACATCATTTGCACCCCCTCTTTACCCTTTTCTCTATCATACTGTCCTATAACACTATTTTTTGACAATTAACACTCATTGTACTAATCGGTAACTCATTCACCCTTTTCACCACAATATTTTACCATAGTGCTATATGACTTTAGATGTCTAGCACATTTTTTTGTTTCAACCATTAACTCCCCAGTCACTTCATCTTTGTGTATGTAGGGGGGGGGAGGGCGGACTGAGGGCCAAGGAAGGGGAACACCCCTACCTTGGACGTCAGCCCCCTTTTCTTTTCCTTCTCCTCTAAATCCCCTTCTGTCCACATCCTAAAGAGTGAGAGCCGTGCTGAAGGGATGAAAGGGCCTTCTTACTCCGTTTGCTCTTCCATCTTTACCCTTTTCACTATTATACTGATCTACAGCGCTCTACAATCTTAAGCATCCAGCATTTTGTCCTAATCGCTAACCCATTTTTAACCTTTCGCCACACATTTGTTTTGACCATTAACCATTTTGGGAATCCACAAACATCTTATGAACCATAAAAACTAGATATATTGAATGCCCCACTAATAACTTTTTATGTTGACGCGGCAGAAAATTTTCAATAAATAAATAAATGAACTTTTTCCCCTCTCCTTTACCATCTCTTTTTCATTCCCTACTGTCCCCTTCCTAAGGTGTGAAAGTCGTGCTAAAAAGGATGAAAGGCTAGCTTTGTCTCAGTCTCGGCCACCCAGCCAAACACTCGCTCCACACACAGCCCGCTGCTCTGTATGCGGCCAACCTGGTCATGACCGCTCAAATTGCTCTGCTCACTCAGATTGCCAATTGTGGTTGCTTCCATAGTGTATTTTAGGACCTGCTCTGCCTACAAGTCGAATCTGAGGCAACAATTCTCAAGATTCGAACTATGCCTCACTACGTGAAACCAGTTAGGAATAACGGCGACGAGGTTTTTTCTCTCTATTCCAAAACTGTCCTTCGCTCCGCTCCCCTTCCATCTTCTCATGGTGCCTCAGCATCTCTCCCATTATCTTTTATCTCTTCCCTCAACCTTGTACCATCCTAACTCTACCCAGTCAATTCTTTCTCCAGTCTAAATCCAGATACTCTCCAGTCTCTAACACTTCCCGATGCCTACCCCTCTTGCTCTCTTTACCTGTCGCAAAAGGCAATCTAATTTCCCACCGCCATCTTCTACATCCACCTCTTCCTCTGCTCCTCGGACATCTGTCCCTTCTCTTCCTCACAAGAAAACCTGTTTCTCAGACCTCCCCACCCAATTCCCCTCCTGAAAGTCATGAATCATATCCAAAATTCCTAAACATGACCCAGGAGAACTCTCCGCCCCCTCCTTACCCCTCAAATCACTCTTTTCCTATTCCCTCTTCATTCACAGTATTTGCCGATATCCATCCTCCTCCTCAAGGTCCCCTACCCCACTTCCTCCAACTCTTTCCCAACACACTTAATTCTCTCCTTCTCCCTGTGCACAATTCCCTTTTTTCACCCATTATCCTTACCGCTCCCACCTTGATGCTCCCTTGATTTCCTTATGTCGCAATTGTCCACTGGCCATTTCTCCTTACATTTTTCCTGATATTTCATTGCCTTCCCCTTTTTTCTCAGTCCCCGGATTCTTCTCCTCCTACTTCTCCCAACACCGATCTCTACCTGTATTACCCGTTGATTGTTTCATATGGCTCCTTTGACAGTTATCCTTATACCGTATTTCTCTTCCTTCTTCAGATACTCACCATTTCATCCAATCGTCCTTAACTTTCCTTTTATTAATCCCCGCCTTACTTCATTTGTTCTCCCCTCTTTTTCATTTTCACTACCATACTATCCTACAACGATCTATAACGTTTTATATCTTAACACATTTTATCTTATAACTCATAAGTACCTTTTTCGCCACAAAACTTTATCATAGTGCCATATGACCCTTTATGTTTAGCACACATTTGTTTGAATTATTAACCATTTTCCTTGCTTGTGAATGGGCTGCTAGGTTTATATGATTATGGACAATCCAGAAAGAGAAATTTCATCTTCCAACAACCTAGCGTGTGTATAATGGTCCCTTTGTTATTTCTACTCCCGTTTTGTGTGGTAAAGATTTGGTAATTCAGTTTAATATGCATACAGTAAAGTCTTTGGCACAAAATCTCACGCTGTCTAAAAAAATAAAGTACAAAATGAGCAGGAGCAGAAAAAATGCAGAGGTATTAAAGTAATGGCAAATTTTGGAAATAAGCTGTTCATATGCACGGCATGTTTATGACTGAGGAAAACTGATAGTGTCAGAGCCTGCTTCCAATGGATCATGGCTGCCACTCTCTCGTGGCTAGAGACAGAAAGCACGTGATTCTGAGGAAGCCGGCATACGAACCGCTTTTGTGTAGCAGCCACAAATAAATGGCGACTAAGTCCATTTCTGCGCCACTGGTGATAAAGGAAACCCTTTATTTTGAAATGGGTTTTTGCTGCTACTGATACTGCAATGGCGACTATTATTAATGTCATTACTGTTGCTACAACAACAACAACAACTACTACTACAACTGCTACTCTACTACCACTGCTACTAATACTACTACCATTATCTATATATTTCTATTACAACTACTACCTGTTACTAAAACAGCTACTACTTCTACTACTGCTATTACTGCAGCTACTACTACGACTGCTGCTGATGATAATGCCATAACTACAATTACTTAATATCCACTAAATAGAAAACACGAAAAAGTTAATATTGGGATATATATTATGTAATTACGGAAATCTATCTTGGCTTGTTGGCCCAAACACATTCGAAATTCATAAAATTTGATTCAGCTGTATTGGAAACAGTCTCCCCTCGAACTCTTGTACCGAGCCCACGATTTGTTATTTCCGGTACTTCAGCGTGTGCCCAGTATACTTCTTTTGTATGATTCTTCTTTTCGAGAACTAGAGCGGTTGCGTTTGTTATCTTCTAAGACATCCATATAATGGTATATGTAGTTGCCACGAATAAGTGGCTCGTGTGCAGGGTGTCCACGAAATCCCTTTCCGCTTTTTAGTAGCGCCATGAACGCTGGTCACTGTTCGCTGAAAAATGGCGGGAAGCCTTAAACCTCCACAGATTTATTGCACTTGATTGGCGCCAAAATTCAATTAAAAAAGTCGAATAACTGACGCATCTTTAAAATTTATCAGAATTAAAAAAAAAAAAATCCTAACAAGGAAGAAACCAGTCTCAACATCCCAATGGCGATGCCAAATGACATTTGTT